CATATGTCTGGTTCTCAACATGACCCATATTACATATGTCTGGTCCTTGACATGACCCATAATACATATGTCTGGTTCTCAACATGACCCATATTACATATGTCTGGTCCTTGACATGACCCCTAATACATATGTCTGGTCCTCGACATGACCCATAATACATATGTATGGTTCTCAATGTGACCCATATTACATATGTCTGGTCCTCGACATGACCCATAGTACATATGTCTGGTCCTCGACATAACCCTTAATACATATGTCTGGTCCTCGACATGACCCATAATACATATGTCTGGTCCTCGACATGACCCATAATACATGTCTGGTCCTTGACATGACCCATAATACATATGTCTGGTCCTTGACATGACCCATAATACATATGTCTGGTCCTTGACTTGACCCATATTACATATGTCTGGTCCTCGACATGACCCATAATACATATGTCTGGTCCTCGACATGACCCATAGTACATATGTCTGGTCCTCGACATGACCCATAATACATATGTCTGGTCCTCAACATGACCCATAATACATATGTCTGGTCATACATGTATATGTATAGGCGAATATATATTGTATATGTTGTACAAATGCTTGTCTAATTTCGCTACGTTTTTTTTTATTGTTACGAATATTTAAAATAACGTTTTTGTACATTTTTGAACACATCAAGTGTACAAAACATAGTATAGAAGATCACGTCTAGGCTGTTTCATCTGCCTTAGTTTTCTAGTTATGTTCTAACAAGTGCAGACATGCAATCGACAACGGATTTGTGATAACATGTTTGTAATTATTCTATCGTAGCTAGAAAACAAAAACAGATAAAGGAAAACGAAGACGCAGTCTTCTAGCCTGCAGCATTACCATCATCGTTTATAACTTACAGGTTATTCACACTACTAGAATTGTTAGAATGGTGTTTTCAATAGTCGATATATTGTTTAAATAAAAAAAATAGCGATATTGTCCGTTAGATAATGTCTCAGCATTCATTCATATAACATATAAGTTGTAATAAAAGCATTTTTCGTACATGTTATAAGATGTCTGAATCACAGATCAATGTTAGTGCGTTTTATCCCAGTTTCTTTCTATTTCTTTTTAATCGAACATTTATTAGGCATTTATTTAAACCAATCTATGAGATTGGTGCAATCAGGTACTTCGACAAGTAAGCTTTATCATTACACTAATTATCACTATAGGAATACATCAAGGAAACCTTTTTTTAAACATTAGTTCATGCCTCCAGTGATCGTTGCATACAGGCTTGTGACCGATAAATGCAAACTGAAGGTTGATGATTTTTCTTACCGTATTTAGCTCACATATCAAGGTACCAGTTTCGGTATACCATTTTTGTTAACAACAACATGGGAAACATTTAAAGAAGATAACCATAAACAACAAATAACTGGAGAAAAGAATACCCACCTATCAACTTGCTTATTCCCAAGACTTTGATTTAGAATAAAAATATCTTCACTAATAATGTGACGGATCGCATTCATTGCATGTAGATAGATAGTAATCCAGTATATTATCTATAGCCTTTATTTTGATTTCAACATAATGTTGATAAGATGTCGATAATGTACAGATAGCATATGGTACAGTACTATCATTTGTTGCATCGACGCAGGTGTAAGTCAGGATAAATCTTGAATGATGTCTGATTTCCCCCAAGCATTTATAAGCTAACATTCAATTATATGACATTAAAGCGAAGTATATAAATGGTTGTATAATTGATAACATTCTGATCGTCACTTTTATATCTCTGCACGTACTATTACATACTAAGAAAGGATTTCACCATGCAAACTGAGAAGCGTTTCATCATCGCTCTATCACCATTTCCGATTATTCTGTATTCCTCATTTTTTTTCGTTTAGGTAATAATCTATGGTGTAACACACAGTTATATCTGACATCATCATCATTTGTTCGTCCCGGATATGTTCAATGTTTTCGCAAACTGTATATGCCCGCCATGTCTCTTAACACCGTGTTAAGAGTATTAATAATATTATCATTATTCGAAAATTAGATTTGCCTTCGTGGAAATTAACATGATTAGAAACATTACTCTGCTTGGTTTGTTATCTCGGGGACAACAAACAACGCACAATCCACAACGATTAAAGACGGGATGCTTTATAATATATGAATATAAACTATGATTAAATACCCAGAATTCTCTCTAATAAAACTTCACAAAACAATTGGATAAATTGCAGAGTTGACTATACAGTGGACTTAAAAACGATTATTGCGAATGTCTTTCAAATTAGTTGTTTATATTCTCAGAGGAAGAAATATTTCTTTCTTCTGATTGAAGAGAATACCTATTTGTTTAGTAAATGAGAATGTATACCAAAGCTGAGAACGACAGTTTCTTATCTCATTTTTAAAACTTCTCTTACTACTAACTCTTGTAATAATACAGTTGGTTTTCTTTCAAGTCGTGTGTTTCCCACAGGTGAAGAATACAGCGAGTAACCAAAATTGTATTTCGCGTTTGATACACACCCAGTAATGTGTCATTCCATATAGAGAAAAAAACACCATGTGAAATCGTAAAATGCAATTGTCATACACAAAGTATGTGAAATGCAAAAAAATAGACAAAAATATTTCAGCAGAAGCAGTTGTTACAAGTACTGTGCGTGCAAATTGTTGCACGATTAATACCTCACTATATACATATATATCTTGGACATCCCTTGTATGTTATTTGAATTCTCTACGGGCCAATAGCACATGATTGCATCAATTCCCTTGATGAATGAACAATATAAGAAAGATAGAATTATTAAAATGAGTTTTCACTATAGTGCTATTAGATTGTTTGATGGTGAAGGATGTATTCAATCAGTGTTCCGATTTGCTAAGTCATTTTAAAATGATTACAAATCATTATTGACAGATGTTTATATAGTATATTCTTAAAACCATTTAACGCACGTAGAGTTGTAAAAGTCAAAATGAATATATGTATTGAGTGATATATTGAGATTTCATCGTTCGATTACGTAATATCACAAGTCCTGAATTAAGTTAGTACTGGTACATTTATTTATAAATTTATTTAGGGATGGATTTGAAATAAATTGTATAAAATACAGCATTCTGTTCCGAAAGCATGCCATGGTAACTAATGACTATAGAAGTAGACCATCTATGGTATTAGTACTGTACATGGAGTACCCCCTACAAACAAGTACGTAGTAATGACATCCATCAACGTGGAATTAGTACGTGCATGACCCTAGCTCGAAGAACCTTTCAAGGAAATACGTCATCTGTGATTGCATTTTGTCACGTATGCCCAATTAATATATATAATCACACTGTATGTAATTCCGTGGGCAAAAGGAGTTACAGATTAAGTAGATTTCACAACAAACAACATATTTACTAAATTACAGGCAAATTACACACACACATATATTACAACGGAAAAGATCGTATTCGAACTAGCGATCACGGCAAGCAGCTCACCACTGCAGGCAGACGAGCTTTATGTCACGCCACATGATTTTTCTTCAAAGAACAGTTCGAAATGATGTGTGTAGTGAACACCGTTATCAGTGACTACATAGTAATGCACATATCGAATTTCGAACATCACAAACAAAACATAAAACCACCGTGACGTATTCATGGCTTGAAATGAACCTACTCAGTCAAGATTTCTCCCGGGGACAATTCTAGCACAGTGAGCACTAATTGATATCTTATGTATACGGTATTGCTGTGTGTGTCGTCAAATTTAAAATGTACCAAAAACAGTTAGTCATCATTTTCACATTGTGTGCATAACATTACACGTCATTTGTGACGTATCAATTGTATTTATTGACGTAAAAGTAAAGAGAACATATTGATATGTATTATGGTACAATGGCTGGTATGCCTCTGCTTAACTTAATCACTAAGTATCTGTCATTGCTAACTTAAGGCGTCTCGTAAATTGCATTTTCATACCTCGCTCATTACAATGTTATTTTTTTCTCCAATAACACTTCAATTTCCGGAGGATCTTAAGAAATTCTGTCTTGAACTGTTTATTGACGAGCGCATAGACGATTGGGTTAGATGCAGTACCGAACATAGCAATGGAAACTGCACAAACCTCTAAGTCATATAGTATACCTTTGTTGAGTAGGGCTTCTCCATTAAATGCAATGATTAAAGTTACTAATGGCAATGGAAACCAGCAAACAATGAATGAACCGATGATATACCAAGCTCGCTTCGCAGTTCTTGCTTCTACCCGCCGCTTACCCCGCTCCCTCGCTGAATGATTCATCACACATACTGAACCATACAAGTTATCTTGTGGTGTTGTCAGTAATTCCGTATTATCCGCTACAATACTGACTATAGGAGTCATTTGTACATTGACCCCATTTTTGTCAGACATATTTGTTGTATCTACGTTTACTTGGTCATCACACATGACAGACACAACTGGAGTCACATAAACGTCTGATTCTTTTGCTTCTGTGTCACGTTTATCTCGGTTCTTGCTTGTGTCAAGATTGGACGTTGCTAAATCGCATTCTATTGTTTTTTCGTGTTGCTCTACGGTTAACTTTATCTGTTTATCTTCGACTTCAGTGACTGTTATAGTAGTTTGTAACTGATTTGTGCTTTGTTTTTCAAGGCCACCAGAGACCAATCCACATTTTACTGTACTACCTAAGGAAATTGAATTGATTTCATTGTCATCGAATACTTTAACCGTGCTTGTGTCCACAGAGCCCGGTAAACTGATGTCTACTTTTGTAGTACAGTCGATACCGCCAACGTCCGATAAGACATCTTTATCTCCGTGATGGTGATTATCAAATGCCGACGCCAAATGGATATTGATCAGTTTATCTTTATCGGTTATTTTATCTGAATCTATCTTTGCTTTTTTGTTTGCAACGACAGAATTTACGCTCTTTGCAATGTCGTCTGTCGGGGTTTGATTTCCAACTGCCATGACAGAAGGTTCTTCCACCGTGCTTACATCATGTGTTGCTTCAGGTTTTATTTTATTATGTGCTCGACTAGGTGACATACCTTGGTCCATGTTTTTGTTATGTTTGTGCACGGTTATCCAAATTCGGATGTAGAATACGATGATTACTGCAAGAGCCAGGCCCCCAATAGGGGATATAAAATAAGCACTGGATGTGTCTTGTTGACTGGCATAGTCAGATGTATCCCCGGTACACATTTTATATTGCGGCGACATCTTGAATTTAACAGCTACTAAAGGTGCAAACAAAGTACTGATTCCCCATGCGATAATCAACCCTCCAGTTACTCGTTTCTTTCTATACTTTGTCCTGAATGGATGTGCAATGGCATAGTATCGTTCTACGCTGATTGCTGCTAATGTAATCAATTGGCAACAACTACAAAACGTGTGAAAAGCGATCTGCAGTGAGCATAATCCATCGCCCAGGTTTCCAGTAGGGTTTCTTCCGTTGGCTACCACAACGACAAAAACGAACGGTACATTAAATATACAGGTTAGTAGATCTGCTATAGCCAGATTGACGAGAAGAGCGTTATTGGGTGTTCGCAGGTACTTTGCATAATACACACTTAGACACACTAACGTGTTACCAATAATTCCAACAACAAAAGTAATAATTAATAGAACACTTGATATAACCATGACGCTGAAATGCAGTGGCTCGTTCTGTGACCATGACTCTATGGTCGTTATATTCATGTCCGATGAACAATAAGAACTGAGAGTTAACAAGGTTATACTGACATTGTTATTTAGTGTATTGAGGTGGAACGTACCTAGTGTAGTCATTCGTAAAGAGTTGTGACAGAGATGATGGTTAGCTCATTGTACCAAGATACGAAATCAAATGTATTGCAATCCAAATATGTTTCGACAAATCAACGTGCAACACATCTGTACTACTTCTTTAGGTGGTCTTCCTGGCGTTCTAATAGCTGCCGACTTCGTTTGATTTCTTGGAACATTGATATGCAGTTTCGGTCACCGGCTTCCAGATTTATAATTCTGCTATCGGCGGTTAATTCTCCAATACGTTCACAGTTTGACAGAATAATATACGTCACGAATAAATCAAACTGCCGGGGATAACTCATTTAAAGGTATCGAACATACGCCCTAAGACACAAATGTGCTTCGCCCAATCAGAGATTTGGAGGCGAAATATTGTTTAACCACATATTGACCATGCGTAATACATTCAGTACAATAACTATAGAATGGCAATCCACCAACGTATCTGTCTATAATTGATAAGATGCAAAACATCTATGCTTTCACTAACACACGCATGCGTATTGTCGTAAGATTCATTAACACAGCTGGTGTATCTTGATGAAATAAATTGTTGAGGATGCGGCTGTCTCGAATGTGATGTGCTGAGTTGCGGCTGTCTTGAATGTGATGTGCTGAGATGCGGCTGTCTTGAATGCGATGTGCTGAGATGCGGCTGTCTCGAATGCGATGTGCTGAGATGCGGCTGTCTTGAATGCGATGTGCTGAAATGCGGCTGTCTCGAATGCGATGTGCTGAGATGCGGCTGTCTTGAATGCGATGTGCTGAGATGCGGCTGTCTCGAATGTGATGTGCTGAGATGCGGCTGTCTCGAATGCGATGTGCTGAGATGCGGCTGTCTCGAATGCGATGTGCTGAGTTGCGGCTGTCTTGAATGTGATGTGCTGAGATGCGGCTGTCTTGAATGCGATGTGCTGAGATGCGGCTGTCTCGAATGTGATGTGCTGAGATGCGGCTGTCTTGAATGCGATGTGCTGAGATGCGGCTGTCTCGAATGTGATGTGCTGAGATGCGGCTGTCTCGAATGCGATGTGCTGAGATGCGGCTGTCTCGAATGTGATGTGCTGAGTTGCGGCTGTCTTGAATGCGATGTGCTGAGTTGCGGCTGTCTCGAATGTGATGTTCTGAGGTACGTCTGGCAATTGAAATAAAGAAAACGAATGTAAGCAGTGGAATAAACAAGCCAAGTTTCATATATGTTCGACAAATTGCATCTCTACATAAGACAATAATATATATGTAGCGTAAAACTAGATGCGACACTTATTAATAGCTTATCAATAGTGGTAAATTTAAAATATATATATAATACCGAATATATTCGGAATGTCCTTAAAAGAAGCTGGAATATATCAATTATAATAGTGGGTGTTTTGTCACCAGCGTATAAAACATGATTTTATAGTTACGTGCTCCACGTAAATATATATATTGTAAATATAAGTTAAATTTATTAAAATAATCACCATGGTGAACAGGAATACATTTTTTCATTTGATTAGTTTTAATTCAATTCAATTATCCCATCTTTTACGCATCTTCTGAGTATTTTAGTTCTACTCTACTCAACGTTAACGAAACAGTTAATTCGAATTGTTGTGTCTATCAATCAATGCAAAGGTGTGCGACTTTAGCTTTAAGGGTTTTATCATGCCATGTGCATTATAGTTTACTCCTAGAAAAAATACAAATTATTAGAAAATATGGGCTGAGTGGATGTAAGCCGAATACTCGTACTTAATTGTATGACTGTTATTGATTCATTATAATTCATACTGTTCGCCCGTCACTCCGTCTGTCTGTCTGTCTGTCTGTCTGTCTGTCTGTCTGTCTGTCTGTCTGTCTGTCTGTCTGTCTGTCTGTCTGTCTGTCTGTCTGTCTGTCTGTCTGTCTGTCTGTCTGTCTGTCTGTCTGTCTGTCTGTCTGTCTGTCTGTCTGTCTGTCTGTCTGTCTGTCTGTCTGTCAAGAAGCCAACTTGATATTTACAGTGTTATTGTTTAATCCATTTTAGTGGCTTTCATGATTCAATGAACTACTGTAAAAATGTCAATGATCTACTATGACAGAAGACCCGAAAGCAATGAGAAAATGAAACACCCTTGTGTCAAATTACTTTCCATGATTGCTGTCATTCAACTAAGCAATAACAATCATATAATACATTGGCGATAATAAGAATAATGACTAAACATGACAGGTGGACGTTAATAGTAACAATAGGGGGGAAATGAGATTTCAGTTTGGCGCACTATTAGAAAGATATCCCGCCTCTTTTACACAAATAACAAATATCTATCTATACTATGACTACAGGCGTTTTTATTGTGCACCATGCTCAGTGAACATCATATAGTTATATCCTAGAGGGCCAAGAAATAAACTAACCAACTTTGACATCTGAATTATCGGATCTACTCATCGTGTACTATACTGGATAATTATTATCGAAATGATTAATACACGGGAGACTAACGTATTAGCACAATGTATGGATGCTGGTTAAATTGACTGAATTGCTGTGATCTGTTTCGAAGACAGTACTATACATTTAAAGTAAATCGTGAACTGCTGTTTAACGCACTCTGACACTGTGTTGATTGATGAATCTGATTACTGTAGACTGATGAGAAAATGCACCTTGCAGGGAGCCTTTTAGTACTGTCATCTTGGGAAGTAGCATGGCTTCGTGCCTTCCGTCGTTCAGATATCACCAGCCCACATAACGTATATCATATATTTCAATAACACATTAATTAGTCTCACGGATGGCATATTTGTTGTTAAGCCTTGTGTTGTTTCATATTACATCACCATGTTCAGTATCATCGTAACGGGGTATACAACTCAACGAAGTTCCGTTGACATGGGGAAAATGTATAACTAATTAAACAGTAAGGGTCCGGTTCATACATTGAGCCAAGTGATTTCTCGTGATCGCAATAAAACAATAACAACCATTTAATGGGTATTTAGAATGAATCGATGCTTCAGTAGTTATAAATATTCTTGTTTTATTATTGCTATAGACATGGTATGACGCCTTACGTATTCTAGTTGATAGCGTAGCATGCTCTAAATCAATTAAAACAAGTTACATTTCCGAAATAGATCAAATATTCACGTTCCAGTTTAGCATTATTACTAGTGCCATTATCGCAATAAATATAAGCGTGTCGTGCTATCTTACGTACCTTCATCGTGCTACATATTTAGTTTTTTGGGGGGATTGATAATTGCATAGGTTTGGTAAAATTTCTACGAATGAGATCGTCTTTAATTTTACTGATATTTACATTCTTGATATAGTAAAGAAACTATTCATTTGCATATGAGCCAAAGTGTTTCAAAGTGGCACATATTTTCGAATGTGTACAAAATCACTCTCAGAATAAGGTAAAGACATAAAATGTGTTAAAATAAAATGCTGAACATGCTCGACGTTTTTATCTCTCTTTTTTATCAGTAAATCCTCTTTACTAATCCACGTCATCAAAATATTATGGTGTATCTCTATACATATTAGTTCACTCACAGTAAATTCATGCATAGCACGTTTAGCACCATTTTATCCACACATTAAGTTATACAAAATATCAAATAGTCAAATATAATTGAATTGTTACACTGAGAGCGTGAAGTTTTGGTAGTTTTAATATATTTTGTTAATATATCATTGAGTACGGTAGGGAGATGATTATCTGCATATACATAAAAATGCCAAGTTAAAGTTTGTAAACATCTTATACATTCATCACTTTATGATTAAAGAGTGGACACGTTATAGTTTGGACTTTTACTAATAATGCTAATAAAAGTGTTTCTGTAAATATGGTATAATTTGCTTAAAATTGATTTGCAAGCATTACCAAAAGCAGGAATCTAATAAATATGGCAGAACTAATGAACAGTATAATGTAAACAAGGTATGTTCAAGTAAATAGTGTTTCTCTTTATAAAGACACCACATCATGTTTTCATCATTATGAATGCTCTATATGAAAACGTTTAGAGTGTTATAATATTGCTTTACTGTTGATCGATGACATGAATATGCAAAACAAATAATATCGAGAACGTCAATTATCGCCATTCTAATAATAAATAACATAAAGACATAGCAACTGTATGTTTTAAATACATATATTGAGAAACGGTTGTGTTAATGAAAGCGAAAATGACAATGATAATTTAGTTGATCCCGTACTAGTGTACTGTGATGAAAACATAGAACAGTGGCTGCTATAAATAATTCACACTGATAAGAAATGGAAGGTTAACTTGTGCCTTATATTTTCCCATGAAACATTTATAGATCTAATTTGTATTTAGTGAGAGTTAATAACAGTGGAAATCATCTTTGTCATGAAGGTCATGTCTCCCATTTGACAACGTTCAGTTGTACATAATAGGTGAGTATATCACATTTAAATACCTTACTTATCAAAAGTTCGGTATTATACACGCTTATTCGCGTGTCAGTAATCTTACTTTGACTGTTTCCTTAAATATTATTTTATAATGTCTACGCTATTGAGTCAACATATCACAAATACATACATTAGACACAAGCAACGCAAATAAAAAAAAAAAAATCAATCAAAATCAAATACGTTTTGAGCACGTCTATAACCAAATAGGAACGGGCCCTGGAACCAGCACTGGCCATTTTTGAATACGCCAAGCGGTAGCGTACATTTTCAACTCTCGTCGAGATTTTTATATTTAAATTTATTTTCAACATATCGACAGACCAAACACTATTATAATTAACATTTTTGAAAACAATCAGGTACCGTAATACATCGTACATGCACTTCGAAATTGTCAACTGGTTAACGTGTCAAACCGGAAATCCATTGATTTGCATCGTTTGTGTTATTCTGATATGCGATTCCTCATATTTTTAT